TTTGGCATATCAGACACGTCACGGGGAGCTTGCCAGGCTCTGCCGTGCGGGCGAGATACTCTCAGTAGCTTGCCCGGCTCTCCGAGAGGGGTGGAGGAATCGAACTCGGGTCGGCCATGTTGGCTGCGTGCAAGGCAAACGCCCTACCACTGTGCTATCGCTCCAGTAATTATGAGGGTTCTAATATAAAGCATTTTGAAGGGTGACAAGGGCTCAATTTTTGCAACCATGAATTTTCCCATGTGTTAATGAGGTGATTAAATAAAAGAAAAAGAGAATGGATACTGTGGTATGACCATTTAGTTTTGGTTTGTTTTGAGGCAACATAAATTTATATAAATATATATATTTTATGGGTATAATTTCATTCCTCTTCAAAGCTTACATCATCACACCACACCACCACCAAAGGACCTATATGCCTTCACCTCAGCTCATTGGACCCCTCACCCCTTCAATCTATCCTTCCTCTTTTTCTGCTGGAAAGCAGAGTTTCACAATCTAAGCCCATCAGCTTTTTTTCATTTGCTTTTGTCTATTAGCTTGCTTTTCTTCTCTATCTCCCATATGTGAATAAGATCATCTGATATTTGCCGTCTTCTTAGGACTTATTTGATTTAGAGCTTGTTTCATCCATCCTGCTGCAAAAGGCAAGATTTTATTTTTTTTCTTACAGTTGAGTAGTATTCCATTGTGTATGTATGTATACACACAGCACATTTTCTTTATCCACTCATATGTCCACTTGGGTTGCTGCCAGGTATTGGCTGTTACAAATAGTACTGCAATGAACATAGGTGTGAATAAATCTCAGATTAATGTTTCTATATTCTTCAGATACATACTTGGGCATCAAATTGCTGGATTAAGTGGTGGACCTTATTTTTATATTCTGAAATTTTTTCATGCCATTTTTCAATTTATATAGAGACAATTTATATTCCCACCCAAATGATGAGGTTTCCTTACCCCCAAAGACTCCTGGTGTTCCTGATTTTGTGATATATCATTCTTGCTGGTATGAGAAATTATGACATAGTTATTTTTATTTACATGTTCCTGATAGTCAGCAATGATAAATAATTTCTCGTGTGCCTATTGGCATTCTGAATGTAATCTTTGGAGAAGTTTCTTCAATTTTCCCCTCCTCCTTTTTAAATAAGATTTCTTTTTCCTTGTTTTTTGTTTCCTTGTTGAGTTTTGTGAGTTCCTGAGTATCTTGGATATCAGTCCTTTGTCATATGCAGCTTGTGCAAACATTTTCTCCCATTCAGTAGGGTGTTTTTTCATTTTAGTGATTGTTACTTTCACAGTGCAGATGCTCATTAGTTTGGTATAATCCCATTTGTTTATTTTTGCTTTTGTTTTCCTTGTCATTAGTGTTCTATCCCCAGATACACTCCGGAGGCCAATAGCATAGTGTTTTGCTCATGCTTTCTTCAGTATATTTTGTGCTTCTGATCTAACATTCAATTCTGCTTTCTTTTTCTCTTTGATTGAGGTAATAACATTAACATACAAGGTATAAATGTTTGTATCTTTTAAGAGTACAATGTCGCCAAACCATGCCCACTACCAAAATGCCAGTATCCCTCCATCATTGTTCTCTGGACCTTTTCCATCTACTTCCCCTGGTAACACTGCTCTATGGTCAGAGTCTAAGGCTTGTTTTCATTGTCTGTCACCTTTCTTTGTTTCTTTATACACCACAGATGAGTGGAATAATCCAGTCTTTGTCTTTCTCCTTCTGACTTACGTTGCTTAGCATAATCTCTTCCAGTTTCATCCATAACATCCAGTTATCTATTCCATTTGGAGTGAACTTGTTCTTTATAGAAAGACTTTATTTATCCTCCTGAAGTCAGGACTTCTCAAACAAAACTTAAATTAAACATGGTATCACACTAAAACATTCATTTTACTCTCTAATAATATAATGCATAAATCACAACAGAAGTTATCAATCTACTCAGAGCTTCCTATAACAAAGAGATTAGTTAGTCCTCAGCACTTACGTTGAGCAGTTTTAAAATGCAGAAAGGGAAGTGGAAAAACTTTGGTCAGAAAAATGGCAGGTTTTTATTTTGTTGTCATTGGAGATTGAAGTCATGGGAAAGCTGGAGACAAAATACTCAGAAGGGGCATCTAATGGGACAATTTATAAAGTATATTTGCCTTGTCTATGGCTGTACCACGTAGAATGTACATGATCTCCTTTGATCTCCAAAGCTAGGAGACATGTGTTCCTTTCTCTGGTTGATCCTGAGCTGGTAATTGTTAGAAAAAGAAAGAAGCTGTTGGTTATTTGCCAAGTCTTCATGCTCTGTGACGTTTGTTGTACAGGTTGTGGGTTGGAGTCTAGAAAGGGTTGCTAATGGAATTTGAGTTTGGAATCTAAGCTGTTTACAGTGTCAGAGTTCTATTGGAATATATATTTTGATCATTGTAAAGTCAGTTTCCTCAAGTGTAAAATGCAAATTCTTTGCAAGTGAAAAACCAATACTGTATTTAGGTGAATCATCATTTGCTCTTCTTCCCTTTCTCTCTCAGCCCTTACTGATTTTCCAGATAATCTAATATTGTCTTAGGTTCAAGCTGTTGCCACTTTCCCAAGTTTAGTATATATCTCTGACAAGCACATATCTGAATTTCTCACAACTCTACTTGTTGAAATTTGTGAGTGCAAACAAGTTGTTTGGTTTCATTTCATTCATTCATCAAGACTTACTCCTTTCTTAAGCCAGACAGGCTCTCTGAGTTACACCTCCTTCCTTTCACTATAGCACATGAAGATCCACTTGCTTGTGGAAATCATTCAGAGGAGACCTTTTTTTTAATAGAATCATGTGAGATACACAGTTACAAAGCTGTTCATGACCAGATTTCAGTCATACAATGATCCAACACCCATCCCACCACCAGTGTCCCCTATTCCCCTCCCACCACCTCTTACCCCCAGGTTTGTCATTGTCAGCTTGTCAATATGGCTCCATGGAAGGTTTCTGTCTCTGTCTCTCTCTGTCTCTCTCTCTACCTCCCTTGCCCCCCACCCCTCTTTCGGGCATTATGGTTGGCAATACAGGTACTGAGAGGTTATCATGTTTGTTCCTTTACCTACTTTCAGCTTGCAGTTCTTATCCAGAATGATCATTTCCAACTATTTTTGTCATAGCGGTCCCTTCTCTATCCCAACTGCCTTCTTCCCCAACACTTGACACAGGCTTCCAACAATGGACCAATCCTCCTACCCTTTGTTTCTACTGTACTAGTCAGAGGGGACTTTAGTGGCATTGAGACACCAATTCTGAGAGGCTGAATGACTAGATAAACTCCAAGGATGGGTACTCTATGGAAACATAAACTATATTTGGTCAAAATTAGAGTAAAAGAGAAAAGAGCTGTTATATTTCAAAAATTTAGAATGTATGCCTTGCAATGCCAAAATTTTATATTTTGAAAATCAATGCAATTATTTCCTGCTCTGAGATCCTAACCATAGAAAATCTTCAACCAGTATGATGTCATTAGTAATGAGAACTGTTGAGATAATTTCAATAGTAGTAATTAGAGTGTCGATCAAACAAATGATTTACTTTCTTTTATAAATTAAAATAGATTCAAGGCTATTCCTCTTGAATAGTATGGTTCTCTCACTCACTTGATTTCCTATCTGTTTTCTAAAATTGGAAGAAACAGTTGAAACTGCAAGTAGAAAGAATTAGACATAACCTGCAATTTATTTTTCCTCTGCCACATCCCTTAGTGAGCCATAATTAATGATATGCCACTAATAACTATAGCAATTATGGATCATTATAGTGATTCTGGTGCTAATTTTGTATTGGCGTCCATTTTCATTTGAGTCTTACTTGTGGGTAAATTTTTATTGAGAGAAGCAATAAAGAAAGTATAGCAGTGTATCTAGATTGTATGATTTTTAATATCCTCCATATGAAAGGAAAAGGAAAAAGTTTTTGCCAAGGAAGTCTTTTTCAGAAACCCAATATACAAAACAGATAAATGTGGTATTTGTTCTAATTCAAACTTGGCAGAGGACCAGGTGTCCCAATTAGTCTCAAGTTATTCTTCCTTATTGGCCCTGAAGGTGTATCCGGAGCCCAGCACCTCCTGACAACTATTTGAAAACCAACCTCCACTGACCTGCTACATGTCCCACCACTGACTGACATTCAAAATGACCGAATCACATCTGGGGAACATAATGTAACAAAATAGGAGACTAACACTCAAGAGTGGCCGAGATTAGTACCAGGAATTTTGCTCCATGGCTTGGATTCCAGCCACACATGCTAGGGGAACAGGGAGCTCAGATAGAGAAAGGAGCACCAAATAAAGGAAGTTGGGAGGATCCTCCCAGGATGGGAGAAGTATGCTGAAAGTAGACTATGGACCAAACATGATTGCCACTCAATGCCTCTTTTGCAAACCATAACACCCAAAAGGGGAGAGAGAACAGAGATTAGTTCTGCCACAGAGGCAGGGTGGAATGGGGGAATGGGGGGTGGGAGGGATACTGGGATCCATGGTGCTGGGAAATGGGCACTGGTGTAGGGATGGGTATTTGGTCATTGTATAATTGAAACCCAAGCACAAAATTTGTAAGTATACAACTGTACCTCATGGTGTCTCACTAATAAAAAAAGTTTTAAAAAAATGACCGAATCAAATGATGAGCTACTATTTCCATTAGTGTTATTGGTCATGAGATTCCTCAAGCAATATTAACAGTCACATGTTTTTAATATTAAATTTATTAAGGTTAACAGCTCATAATATATTTAGTTATCTTATTTATTTTATAGTCAGAAGTGTGATACATGTATTCATAGACACAACCTCACAATGACAAGGATAGTGGGAAAGAATTTAACTTTAAAAGGAAAGAAACCCTCCCGTAAGCAAAGCAACAACTTGAGGCTATTATTGCATATGAAATTAACCAGATTTTTAAAATGTGCTCTATGATCTCACTTTTACAGGAGACTTTTGGGGGAAGAGGCACACCCAGCATCACTCAGGGCTTAGTCTTGGCTCTTCATTCAGGGATCCCTCCTGCTGAGCTCAGAAGACAAAATGCGATGCCAGGAATCAAACCCAGAACAGGTACTTGCAAGGCAAACTCCTTAACCACTGTACTATCTTTCCCACCCCAATGAAGGAATTTTTTAAAAGGTAAAACTAGTAGAATTCTATAGGATCAAAGGGGTTGTAGAGGCAGAGGAGTTGAGGAAATGTAAAGATACTGCTCAACAATACAAAATTGCTTAGCTATAGTACTTGTTTTTTATTTCTCCATCACTTTCTTGAGAGCTTGTTTGGAGGTTCTAGCAGGGGAGCGCAGCTACTGATATAACCCTCGACGGGTCCATCTCTATTCAGGGAAGGCTGTCCTCTTCGACCAAGCATGCAGCCTCGAGAGGAATGCACATGGAGCGGTGAGGGAGGAAGGGGACACCTGTCTAGCCAGCCAGATCAGCTGAATGAACCCTGGCGATCAATGGGGTGACAGATGTCGCAGTCAGATCGCCCTCACATCCAAGCTACACATGACCTATTCAATATGCCAAACACAGTAACAACAAGTCTCAAAATGGAGACGTTACTGGGCCCGCTCAAGCAAAACGATGAACAATAGGAGGACAGTGACAGTGACAGTGACATCACTTTCTTGAGGGTCAATGTCTGGAGATGTTCATTTGAGCATGTGCTGCCAAGTAAAGAACATACTGAAAGAACCCTTTTCCAGGCCAGAGATATTATAGGGATTAAGGGGTTTGTTTTGTATCCTGCCAATCCCAGTTGAATCCTGAGTCCCATAAGTAATGCCACAGGTCACTCCTGAGTACAGAACCAGGAATAATCCCTGAGCACCACTGGGTATGGCCTCCCACAGCCCACCTCCCTCCCCAAAAAGAACCCATTTCCTTTATTTTAAGTTATTTATTCTTAATCTTTATTATTTCTTTGTTTATTTCTTGATTCAACAATTGGGAAACAAATACAGGGAGTAACCAAGTTAGAAAGATGTTCTATCTTAAACGAACTATAAAATTAACAATGTACCAAAATGAATCAGGAAAGACATTTTTCAGAAAAGGGATTTTTCTACAATAAATCTTTGCATTTAAAAGTCAGGAGATTAGAAAAAGCAGTATTGACAGCAGCATTCTTCACAATTTTTCTAAAATAGATTTTCTATGTCAAAACCTTGGAATCAATGTCCACATTCTTCTCAATATTCTTTTTCTTCTGCAGTATGTCTTTTCTATTAACTCCCTCACCACATTCTCAGGAACAGACAAGCAGTCCACACAAATATCCAGCTTGGATTTTAATTTTATAATATAACTATTTCAATACACATAGGAGAAAGAGGAGGAAGATTTTTCCCTCTTTGTTTAAACATTACTTGAAAGTGGGCAGGGATGACAATAATAAATTACCTAAAATTTTTAATGCAGGAGATAATTTTTCCAAGGGACTCTCAAAACTTTCTAAAGGTTATCTTTCTCAAAGTAGAATTTTCTTTTTTCCCCACATTCACTTAGAAGCAAAAATTGCTCATAGTGCAAAGGGGAATCTTTGACAAGTCCCTCATATTTTATTATTAGGAAAGGTTGTGAAGGGAACAGAATTTTATATATATTTTAAATTCTAAGTAATTCTTATTGGGTTTCATTCTCTTTGTTCCAAAGAGAAATTCTATTCTATTTCAGAGTAATTAGAATATGGCTATTTAGCAAATAACTGAACCTATTTGCTAAATATTGAAATAAACTTGTTCAATAACCAAAAATCTGAAAATTATAATTGACTATTGTTTTATATTATACATATAAACTCCAATGAACTATTAATAAATTGGACTCAAAGACCTCTCTCAGAGGCTTCATAACAATATATTAGATAAAGAAAAAATACATAAAACACAAAAACTCAAGCCTCAGTTGGATTATTTTTCCTTCTGAGGACGCAAAAAATAAAATTTCATTATCGTTAGTTACTAGAGAAAATCCTGCTTCCATTCTATTCATCTCATCCTTTGTATGTTGTTGCTGGTGCATATCAGTAAACTAGCCACATGAAGAAAGAAAAAAATAGATAAAGATAAGGTCCATTTGTTTTTATGTAATAATGGGCCATTAACCTTTTCAATATTGTTGTTTAAAAATATCAGTACTTAAGGCCAGAGAGATAGTTTGGGAGGTAAGGCATCTGCCTTGCATGAGGCTATGGAGGTTATAAGCCTCGTTTCAAATTCCTGGCACCATATACAATACTGTAAAGACAGCCAGGGATCATTCCTGAGCACAGACTCAAGAATAACCCCTGAGCACTGTCTCATACCAGCCCAAAACAGACAAATAAAAATAAGAATCTAGTTATATTCTAATTCTACCACAAAATTTGAAACTCTTCACTCCCTAAATCCTTTGAGTACCTGAATTAATTATTCCTATACAGTACTTACTCAAGTCATTGTTGGTTCAAAACACAGAGGACAGGGAATCTCTGCCCTCTTGGAACTAAAGACCCAGTAGAATTAAAAAGATAGGAACATAAATCACTATTTTTTATGGTGTCAGGGATAGAATCCAAGTCCTCAAACACGCAAGGCTAAGCCACATCCCCACCCCCTGAACATTTATCATTCTTAAGACAGACTCTAATAATTAAGATAATATTACAGATAAAATATGCGCCATGATGTACAAGGATGAAAAAGTCATTCCATGGGGATGTTAAGCTGGAATGTGCAGCTAACCAACTTCTATAACCCTGGGGGCATTTTCCATTACCAATTCAACTCAATGTCCCACATCTACATTATTCCAGTCTAAAGGGTGGTTTTGAATCAAGTGGGGTTAAATTACTTTTATTCTTCATGCTAAAACTATATGTAATATAGTTCTCAGGATTTTGATATAACTAGGTAAAGATTAAATCACTCTTAGCTCAATTTTCATATTCCAGGTGCCCAGAAATGTCACCTAGTCGGAGTACCTAATCCCCCTAGGACTCTGAATGAGCTGGAGGGGGCTTGTCCCTTTCTCTTCTTTCGCTTTCTGTTTGATTTCTCTTAAATATTATCTCTTTAAGTAAGAATGCCCAGTAGGATTATATACATTGCTTTGCTTTGCACAATTCTGACAATATAATAGCCTTTTTTTTAATGATGTGTATGTAATTTTCAGTATCTCAATAGGTTTTCATTATTTGGGGGAAATTGAGTACAATTCAGATAATATTGAAAAGGATATGTATTACATCTTATTTCTAAAGGGAAAAAAATAATGAAACCACCTAAATGTCTTTCCGTAGGCTATTTGAATAAATTATGGTACATAAATATAAAATAAAATTGAGATATCTCTACGCATTATTTTTTATAATTTTTATTTTAGTCACCATGATTTATAATACTGTCAATAACAGGGTTTCACATATACAGTGTTCTAATACCACACCCTTCCCCAGTGTCAGTACCCTCACTCTCACCCCACCTTAAGCCCTGTTCCTGTGTCCCCTGCCATCTCCCTAGCATAGTAAACTCTTCTCTCTAGACCATGTATCAGGATGCCTTGGCCATTCTTTAAGCTGCTAGAAACATTCACATTCTTAAAGAAAGCATTCACGGATTGGAGCTTCTAGCCAAGGTGGAGTAACAGAGACCAGGTTTACAGGGCCTGATTTTACTGTCAGTGGGCCCTACCTGACGCTCTCCCGCACTTACATGGATAGCAGCAGTTACCAACTGTTCAGAGCTTCCCATCTGGCGAGCAGTGTGTGCAACGCTCTCATTGGCTCCTTTTAACACACTCCTGGCCATCACCAATCCAGCATGCAGAGTTTTCCCTAACACTCTTCCGTGCCACTACTAGATTTAATACACAATTCCACCCAAACATCAGTCTACACGATTATTTTCCAATTAAATACGAACAAATGCATGCCTATTCAACCTCTCCTCAGTCTGACATGGTACCTGGTTGAAGAGTAAATCTCAGAAAACAAACATTAAGAAACTTTGTGGATTTTTCCTTTTTAAGGTGCTTACATCCTGGTTGAGTTTATATTTCTTGGGGAAAAATATCATTGCCTTTTTTTAAAAAAAAAAAAAACTTGGCCCTAGGTAAAATAAACTGTGTCAAAAATAAATTGGGAAGTTGAATAATAAGCTAAAATAAGAATTCAATGGATATATATTACATATATTATATTAATATATAATATATATCTTAAGTTTATTTTTTAAATTTAATTATAAGAGCACAAACAGCAAAATCCAAGACCCAGAAGTGCTCATGGTGGTGCTGGGGTCCTGGCAAGTGAGGGATAGAAAAAAGGCATCAACATATGACCTACCCCTGAGGCTACATCCTTGATCCAAAGGGTTACACTTAAGGTACAAATTCTAGAAGCTCTTTTATAGTCCAACTAGTCACAATAAAGAAAATGAAACCCTCGACTCTTGCTACCTAGTGTTCAAAACACCACAGAGTTTGTGAAATCCATATTTGATGCCAGATTTCTAAACAGTCTTTTTCCCTCCTTGTGTAAATGGGCCTAAAGTGAATATCGTTTTACCTCGATGAAAACAAAAAGCAAGCAATTTTTTCAGGCAGGAAATTGCTGAGAGATATAGTTAAACTGTGTGAGTTGAAGAACACAGAACTGACAAGCCGCACAGCAGTGGGTTGGTAATGAAAACAAGAACCACTGTAGAATGTCCAAAGAGAACCCAAGAAGGACTCTTAGCTTACAATGGAGGGGAGCGATTTGCCTTGTAATCTAAAAGTGCATTTGTCACGTCGTTAGCGCTGTGTCAATTCAATTCAGTCCAATAAAGCCTTCTCTCAGAGTCAGATTTACCCTTCATAAACAGGCAAAGGGAATTTTCATCTCACCAGTCCTAAAGTTAAGTGTCTTCAACACAAAAACACCATCTTCTAAAAAAATTACTTTCTCCTTATTTTGTATGACAAAACACTCTAATTTTCAATGAGTTTCTTTTTCACCAGATTTATTTAAAATGATTTCTACCCTAAGTCACACAGAAGATGAGGCAGGTGTTAGCAGCTGGTATTTAGAGGTACTTGAGA